GAGTGTGGCGGATCTCTCGAGCTCCCTCGCACCGGAGGGCTGTAGGGGATTTCAACTCACCCGGCTGGCGCTTAGATGATCTCTTTCCGTGGATTCCACCTTCTTCTGAGACTCCAACAGTCTTTGGCGGAGCAGCATCATTTCGCGTTGGTGCTGTCTCTCCAACCTTGAAAGTGCTGCATCAGCATTTGACTGGATGACGCTGGCTTGATCCTGAACCACATGCCTCACGAAAGTCTGAGTAACGACGCGACGCTACAGCATCCTCGTATGAACGGCCTTCGCTGGTTATACCAACGGGAGTGCCCCCGACTTTCTGTTGGTTTAGTTCTTCGTTATTCTCATTCGCTTGAGATTCGAAATCCTGAGAGGCACCGTCGATAATATCCACAATAGCCTTCGATTGGGCGTTGGCCGATCGGCGTGGCTGAGTGGGAGTTGAGAACGCTCTAATGCAACTTCTATGCAAATGAGGGGTACTGTCCGCTCGTCGGTCCTCGTCGCTCGAAAAGTACCTTACATTAAAAACCCTGTCTAATAGGCACCTGCCTCAGCGAGGACTCACTCGGTGAAGACGACGAAGTTATTGGCTTGGGGAGTGTACTTGTAGAGCCCGTAGTGTTTACCCAAGAAGTTGAGGAGCTTCGGAGAGGGCCTGTCGTATGCTGAAGAGTCGGGAGGGGCCCTATGGGGTCCTCATGCGGCATCACAGACTGGATACCAATATCTCTTGGCTCGACTTTCTCATGAGTGAGCATTCCCTCGAACAAGGCGAGGCCGATACCGCACCGCTGACGACTCTCGTCGACATAGAAATCCAACACCTGTACTGTTGGCATCTCGTGCGAGCCTCTTGAGCAGTCGTACACACAGAGGGGTGATCTCGATTAACGGCGAGTCTTCGTTGGCCACAAAGAGTCGCTTCGGACCAACCTACCAGAGAGCTCACAACTGCCATCCGCATCTTGTATAAGCCTCACCTTGAGCAAGCCGAGAGCGGCATGCTTCTCCAGGTAAAGGTATACTCGGCAATCAGTCGTTCGTAGATGCAAGGGAGTTGTGATGGCGACGCGCAGACCCTGCAGTGGACTCGAGAGTATACCTCAAGCTCCCCATAATCTACTTGAGCTTTGGCACTGCCGCTACCGAGACCTTCGATGATGCATTCAAGCTGATGTCGTATACGTGCCTGTTGACTCCTTCTGCTATTGCATGCACATGATCCCCTCACATTCTTCTCTCGTTGAGTGCGATAGTTAGACGCCTCTACAGTGTACAAGTCTCGGACCTGCCCTGTGATGCAGGATTGTCACTATGATTGCTCCTACCGTATCGGTATCAAGTAAGACTATCTCATATGCTCGTTGCGACCATCCTATCCCCAGAGCCTCGTAACAATCGAACTCAGTGATCATGCTTATTGGCGCTTAGGATCTCTTAAATTAACTGTCCACGCAACACTAAGCAGTAGATTGGATACAAATATATTCAGGCGTAAGCCCACTATAAAGCAGGTTCGAGTTTGTCTAAAATGGAAGCGCCCCGTTATAGGGACATGCATATACTCCGACGTGTATCGACTAAGTGGTGCGGGACAAATTTACATAATGCAAGTCAAAAAGGCGACTCTTGTACGACTCGGACCGACGGGTTCGCAACCGAGTTGGCGCTGGTCGATAGCTGACTGATTGATGCCCTCCTCTGGTGGGGCGTGATGGAGTTCTTCTTTATGAGGGGCAGAATCGGGGTCCTGAGATTCATTAAATGCTTGAAATTTGATCTAATTGAGCTCACCCAGATTCGGGGTCCACAACTGCTGTGGGGGTTTCCCGTGGGGCATTGTAACCAACCTTGGGACCAACGTAAGCACCAGAGTCTTCCTGAAATCAGTAGAGTTTGTAAGTAGCTCCATCTCGAGGTGTTGACCCTTACAAAGTTGGCAAACGGCGGCGCCGGTTTCCTCCTCCATCGGTTACATCTTCCCAGGAATAGAGATGCAATAAGACCGAGGAAAAGGGCTATACATAGCGCAATGAGCATCCAGACCCACCACCCTGGCCCCTGGGTCGGTGTTTCATCGTTGCGCTCACCCCTGGCCCGCACTGTAGCACTGGGCACACCCAAATCCCATGATGCCTCCATGTTGCAGCACTGTGCGAATATGTTTCCCATCTCACCGTTCGTGGTCGCCTCTATGAGAGTGTATACAGAGTTCTCAATCTTGTTCGTGATGCCGATTCTCAGCTTCATACTGCTATCCATCAACACCGAGATGTCGTCGCTGTTGGGCACCAGAGTGGATATCAACCCTAGACTGCAATTTTCAAAGTTAGGCGGTAAAGAACCGATGTAACCAACGCTCGCAACGATCCTGAGGGGCTCCCCCGGGATGAGGTTTTCGTCCCGTACGATCAAGCTCCGTAGGCTCGCCTGGCCACCATCGAGCAAAGCAACTGCACTGACACGAGTTGCAGCCGTTCCTATTTTCTCCGAGATGTTCCTCGCGGCCCACTCAGTGATCCTAGTGACGATTTCCG